ACCCTATGATGGGAACATGTTTGTCCCCTCTGAAACTGATGTTGAAATTGGATCACCATCATGCTGTTGTTGCGAAGTGATGCGGTAAGAGGCAATTAAGTTTTTAAGTGGGATTACTGTCTTTCTCATGAAACTGAGTTGGTTAGTGCAAGAGCAGGTTATTACAAAGGGTTGCCCTTTGTGTTCTGCCTCTTTGACATCACTTCTGCCTTTCCTCTGCATTATAAAGAAGCACAGGGCGCTTGCCAGATGGAGCCATCTGATGCTGGACTTTCAGCCTCCGGAGCCATGAGCTAAATAAACTTCTTTGCTTTGCAAATCACACAGCCGGGGGTATTGTGTTATAGCAACTGAGGGCTAAGACATACAATTTTTAAAAATTTAAAATGAAGTGACTCTACTCGAATAAAAGTAAATGGCACTGCTTTAGTTTTTTACAGATGCAGTCATATCCTATCACCTTATTACTAGCTTGACTGAATTGTGATACGTGTATGTTTTCCAAAAGATTACAGGCTTTGGAATATGATTTATTTCTAAATTAAATTCATTTTCTTAAGTGAAACATAAAATTTGAAAACTGTCTGTATTTATGGGGTGCTGTACGATGTTTCTATATATGTCTACACAGTCAAATGAGATTAAACATGTCTATCTCATTAAATATGTATCATTTCTCTACGGTCAAAACATTCAAAGTCCTTTAAAATCTCCTTTAAGTATTTGTTCATTTATTTACTTATTTAGAGACAGAGTCTTATTATGTAGTTCAGGCTAGTCTTGAACTCATTATGTACACCAGTTGACCTCAAACTCATGGCGATGCTCTTGCCTCAGCCTTCAGAGTGCTGGGATTATAGGTGGACACCATCCTACCTGTTCCAACACTTATTTAGGAAAGAGACTGAGGGTAGTGGAGGGACTGGCTGGCTGTGGGGCCTGCCTCCTCCACACTATCCAGAGCAATGTATTTCCAGTGCCCAAATCTTACATATTCCACTGAGCAAAACAGTAACTCTACAAAATCTCTGACATCCATGGGGGGTGTATGGGGGAGAAATTCAGCAACAATTTGCAATTACTTTAGAATGCTTTAAGGAGCCCCTCTTAGCTATCACCACCCAGCTAAGTAACTTAGAAAGCATTTCTTCTGTAACACACAGTGTATGAACCCCTGAGCAGAATTTCGATGCTACGCTACCTTCATTCTGCAGTAGCTCTAGCAGTATTTCAGCTGAAGAGATTGGCACCTTGGGCCATCTGGCTCTGGCTTGAGGCTTTCAACGTGGCAGGCAGGTAGTATTTCTGGAAATCAGAAGCACTATAGAGAGAGCCGTTCTTGAGAAGGAAAAATTGAGTACACTGAGTGTATGTAAATTTAAATCACCAGTGGATGGTGACTGGATGTGGTGTGGATGGTTTGGAACAAGCGGTTCACATCCTAAGCTGCCAAGAAGGAGTGTCAGGTTACGGGGACTGAGCCCCTAGGGTCACTGGGTGTGGCATGTGCATTTGTGGAGTGGATAAGGAGCAAAATGCCGGCACTGGCAGCGGGGAGGGAGTGTTTTGATCTGTGTGAAATCCATGTAGTAACTCCCAGCTAATCTAGACATTATTTTTTCTACAGCTTTTCAAAAATCCTCCAGAAAATTCCTGGCGTTTACAAATCTCACCTTTTAGTAGAATTCTCTGTAGCAAATACAGCCCATTTTTAAAATCAGCAAATCTCTGAGAGTTGGCAACATCAATATATCCTTTAGTATTTCTAGTACTTGCTGTATCTGGCCAATAAAAAAACACCTTTCATAGAAAAAATTTAGCTGGTTAAGTGCACTGGTACTGCAATTTCTATCTGTAAGGCAGGGGGAAAAAAGTCATTTTTACCTACTCTTTTTCATTTAATCTTTCTCAATTGCTCTCCAAGGCAAGAACATACTCTTTGACACCTCAGCTCAGATAAACCCATGCGCACAAGTACACATGAGAGTGTGAAAATGTGTCTTTTGAGCTCTAAATAATACTTAGAATGTGGTTTTCCCAGTTCAAAATGCAGCCATTACAGTGTATTTATAGTGCTAAAAAACTGTAAACCATCTAATACCCCAAAGCAGAGAATATTTAAGTGAAATAGGATATTTCTGTGTCATGTTGTTTTATACAAACATTAAATGTGATTGTTTGTTACAAATTTTAAATAATAAGGGAAAATTCATATTAAATTTAAGACGAAATGTGATGTGAATCGTATATTTACATCTAGCTAAGTATGTATTGTACAAAGACTGGCAGAAACCTGCTAACATGCAGTGTTTTCTCTGGTGGAGCTAACATTAGGTTTTTATTTTTTTACTATTTTTATATTGTAAATATGCTACTTTTATAATGAAGGAAAAATAAACAACTTAAAGGTTGCAGTACTGAGAGGATTTTTCCCATTGCTAAGCCTTTGAAAGGGACATATCCTCACTTCCACCTGTGTGCAGATAAATGTGAAAGAAGAATAAGTCCAAATTTATTGATATAATGAGAAAATGATTACTTTGTGTAAATACAGGAATCTAAGGAAATGCGTGCCATTGAATATTATGATACATAAACAAATTTCTTCTTCTTGAATTTTAAAGCAAAGTCCTACAGTCACATGAAGTTGGCTTCTTGGACTACAACATAAGGGAGACACAGGGGTCCCTGTCATTTCCAAAATTAGCACAGATTCTCATCAGTATGTCCAACATCCTCTACCTTAAAAAATAAAACACTAAAGACCAAAAACCAATCCAAAACAGTCCCTTTAAAGAAGAATGAAGTTTCCGTCAGCTTTTTGAAGTAATTAAGGAGCAGTAAATTTAGCTCTTTTTTAGTCTAAGAATTTGAACATTAGAATGCAAAAAAAGGATCTTGAAATATTTTCTTGGCATTTTTCATGTTTTTGGTATTCATGAAACTCAACTGGACAAGGCTTTTCTTCTCTATCCCTCTAATTGCCTTGGAGAATCAAAAAGTTTAAAAAGTGACATGTATATATTTCTTCTACACAATGTATACAGTATTGTCTAAATTAACTATGGATTATCATGTAAAGACAAGTTAATATCCTATGGTTCATAAACACCTAAGTGATGTTTTAAGAAGAATAACCCATTTTATTATCTACACTGTAAAATATAATGTATGTAAATTTCACAGGCAATAACTGTAAAACATGACTAAGATTATTAGATATGGGCTAAAAAAAGAGAGCAATTTTCGACAAGTTTAAGAAGTTGTAAAAGCACTAGACTGACGTTCTTAGAGAATAGTATTTGAAAATAGTATTTGAGTCAAGGTTTAGGCAAATGTTTCATTCCTTTAAAGTATGAAATTATCCCATTATGACTAGCAAACCACAAAAATGACAAAAGCAAACTATCAGAATAGGTTCAGAACATTTATTTGAGTGCTACAGTATTTATTTTAAAAGAAATTGCAGGGAAAATTTAAATAAAATGAAAATATTATTTGACTTTGTAATGGGAGGGAAAAGGAGTCTTAATGATTTTTCTAAAATCTAGTTTATGTAACTATGTAAACATCACATTAACTCATTAAATTTTATTAAACCCTTATTAAGATAGACCTTGAACAAATCCTCTTTTTCTGTTTTGTTTCGTTTCAGTTTTGTTTTGCAAGCTTATGAATACTAGCAAGGGCACACACACACACAATCCAACTTTTCTTGGCAGTATGACTATACATTATCAATGCAGAACAGTTTTATGGTAATAGAATCTTCTTGTGACTTCAATTTCTATTAGCACAATTATAATGCCAATTAAAATATAGTGAGTCTTTTTTTTTTTCTTCATTTTGGTTTAGAACTTGGTTGGGAAAATTCAAGGAAACGTCATGATTTGCTACTTTCTCTTTGCTTGCTGTACTAAGCCTTCCCTGCCACCCCTCCCTCCACATCCTCTGACTCAGAGACTATTTGGAGGAGACACCTGTTTTAAATGGATCCACAGGAAATACCTATGTGGTCTTTTCATAATCTGGCCCTGCAACTGGTTGGTTGAAATACGATCTTGATTTTTAAAAAATGCTGCACCCAGACTGATGCAACCGGAGTGTGACAACATTTACCAGAAGGTGAAAGGGATCCAGTTTGTATTTATTTTCCTTCCATTAAGCTCTGGTGCTGTAGTGTAGGAATAGAGGGTACGGGAAGACAATTGAAAGGGCAAAACAAGTTGCCAACTCCTCCAAAATACGTATTAAATCGCACACACCGGGGTCGTACACCTCAAACTCCAAAGCTATGTCTTTAAATGCATGCGGTCTTGCATCAAAAAGCGTTACTGGGAGTCTCATCCTTTATAACTTTCTATTATAAACTTACTCAAATTTCATAGTTTATCTTGTGTTTATGCATTGATATTCCACTGGTTAAAGTGTTGCAGGAAAGTGCAGTGTGGCCTGCTCAGAATAGAATTCATAAAGGCATTTCAGTTAACAGTGGCGTGGTCAATAATGAAACCTCAACTGTGTCCAACATAAGGCAAGTCCCACGAGGATCACAAGTCACCCCACTGTGACAGCTCCACTTGGTCTCACAGCACTGGGCACCCCTCAACCTCCTTGACCAACGGCAATGACCCCCAGGGCCGGACGCTGTCGCACCGGGTCCCCTAGCCCAGCCCGGCTGCCACCGACTCGGCGGATGCATTCCCTCTCTGCCCTATAGATGCCTCCAGCGGCGATCGCTGACCTCGGGTGGCACCAGGAGGCCGCCCACCGCTGTTTCGGAAGACTAGGGGGCGCCCCCGGCCGGGTCTCCTAGGACCCGCGAACGCAGGAGCAGAATGACAACGATGACGAAAGAGGTGACGCCACGCCAGCTGCCTGGCAGGCGCCGATCACGGGCGCGCCGCCCATCACGGGCGCGCAGCCCGCCCGCACGCAGCGCCCCGCCCACGCAGGTCGCCGGGCTCGCGGCGCGCAGGTCCCGGGGAGCGCGCGCCCCGCCCCGCCCCGCCCCACCGCGCGCCCGCGCGGCCTCCCTCCCGCGGCCCCGCGCGCCCAGGCCGCTCGCGAACATGGCGCTCGTGCCCTGCCAGGTGCTGCGGGTGGCCATCCTGCTGTCCTACTGCTCCATCCTGTGCAACTACAAGGCCATCGAAATGCCCTCGCATAAGACCTACGGCGGGAGCTGGAAATTCCTGACGTTCATTGATCTGGTAAGGCCGTCCCCTCCCCTCTCCGGGCCACCCTGAACCCCGCGCCCGCGCGTGTTTTGGGGTGCGCACCTCGCCCAGCACCCTGAGCTCGTGTCCCCCTCAGCGAGCGCATCTCACGGCCTGGCTGTCCCCGCTGAGCCACCTCGGGAGCCACCCACCCTTACCTGGCGGCTGGAGGCCCAGTAAGGTGCGCGCAGTGAGGTGGTGGGCCATTTGGAAGGGGACACAGACCTGCTTCTGAGAGATGACACGGGAAGATTCTTCGATTTCCTCAAGCGTGAAAGCGTAGGATGGCCTTGATGTGAGTGGCCTCAGATCCATTCGCCCCTGAGGTGCTTCCCAGGGCACCCACCAGCGGATAAACTTGCAGCAACCGGAGGAAGGACGCACGGTATTGTCTAGTTACTGGGAGCTTCACCCCAAAGCACCCAAATTCTCCTAAGAGAGAGAAAGTACCCAATAAAGTTGTCGCTTTGAGTTTGCATTCTGCTCACCGCCGATAATTTACAGTACTTCAAACCTTTTCCCTGGAAACATTAGGGATCAAGAGTTTCAAAGTGCATTTCTAGCCTCGCTGTGTACGCTTCTCTGTGTAAAGTTTGCAGTAGTTTGCATAAGCAGCTTCTTTGTTGACACAACATGATACCCTTAATGGTACAGGTTATCGTAATACCTTCTGGCCCTCAAAAGGCTTCCTCGGAGACTCCGATCTGGGCATGTGGCCCAAATAATGGCATGAGGTGGACCTGGGCCCTTCTGAGTGAAAAGTGATTAAGACCAGGTAAAGTGCACACGCGAGCACAAACACAGATGCACACACAAGTCCACATTAAAAGATGATCTGATAAGGGGATTTAAAAAAAAAAAAACTATTAGTGAAGTTCCGCATGATTCAGAAAATATAGAACCAACTCCCAGAATGGTACAGTTGTGTGTCTAAGATTATATACAAGATTGGCCATGCCGACAAGGTTATCATCTCTTTTCTTGGCCCTCTGTGTTAAGAAAATGTCTTGATAGTTTTTCAGAGATCCTTCCAAAGGCGTAGAGTGCCTCAGAGCAATGCACTCAGAGGCCTTGGAAATACCACTTGCTTTTGTGTTATATGAGGTCATTTTGGAGAGGAATTTAAATTCTTTCCCCCAGTCTCTGGGCACACAGGTCTGCCTGTGGCATAGTGTTTAAATTTTCGGACTATTCCTTCTCTTTCTTGAACTTAATCTGCTTCTTCATGTGGGAATTTCCCTTTTTTCCATTCATCCATGTGAGCAGCACGTGGCAAGGCTCTGTGCTGTGGTTTTCTGTAGATTCTTTTTAGTATTTGAACGTAAATGGCTATCACCAGGACACTTTTCCTATCTGGACAGACTGACTTGTCAGTGAAGATTGACTTTGCCAGTTATGTTACGTAATAAACATGTTGCATAAACTGAATGAGCTCTGCAGCCCTGAAGTTTTGATAGATGTGTGTAGGAAGCATGTTTACCATGCATACAGCATCAGCCATCATGTCTCTTTAAGAGTTTAAACAGTGAAGGTGTAGGCATTGCTTAATACACACATCTGTTTTACTTTTAGGTATTATATGGGCAAAAGTCCTTTGGGACCAAGGCTATATCTATTTCTAAATCAGACCTCAGACTCTCGGAGTGTTGCCAAGGAGGGGGCAGCAGACTGTCTACACTGCTAGGCTGTGCCCTTGCTTTCTTTGCTGCTTTGGGTCAGCAGGTAAGAGGGGTGGAGTGAAGGTGTTGGTTAACCCAAGAGAGATGACTGCTTCTCCTGCCGGCACTGCTTACTGTGCATTAGAAAACAGAGCTCACAGGAAACAGTACACCTCTAACCTCTTGTGTGACACCAAACAGTAGGACAGTCAGTTGGATACGCTGTCATGCAGTGTCTATTTTAGCATTCAGGACTTTCCTGTTCCACACAGCAACAACCACAGTTTAGTCTTCCAGTATCCAGACCATAAATTCAAATTCAACTTTTTAAACTTTATTTCGTATTTATATTTCACTCAATAATTTCCTAGGGGCTTTAGCCACTCACCCTGGCATTTCACACTGGATGTCTCCTGATCAGTGCCACAAAGTAGGTGGCAGTGCCTTAACTGTATGCGTGTCAGGCAAGGGCCTCTTCCATCCCTGTGAAGGGGAGTGCTAAACTTCTCTCCTGGTATACAATACTATGGTTCCTGATTGACATAGAATAATTTTCTTTAACCAAGAATTTCTGTAAGAAAGTATGTCTGGAATATATTCATAAAAACACACAAAGTGTTATTCCTTTCATTAGAGATTTAGAGGCCTTAGCACTTAAGCATCATACAGCTGTTAAAACAACCAAACTGTCAGTACTTCTAATGGCATGAAAAGATCAGGCTACTAAAATTTACATGTGTAATTTTACATTTGTGTGTGTGTGTGTTTAAACAAACACTGAATAAATGGTATTTCCTAGTGCCTTGGACAGTTTTAATGGCTGTAAGTTTATCGGAGCAATTTTAGATGCTTTTCAACATTTTAAGACTTTTTCTGACCAACTTGGATTGCACAGGCAGGGCCTTAATCCAGATGGCCACAGTTGGTGTCTACAGTTGTAGCATCAGTTTATGGAATGGGAGTGAACTCAAGGCAGTGGGAGGCAATGTATCCGGGCACAGGTGGCTATGTGATAGCCATCACTGCAGCTGTTTTCATGTTTCTGTTTGGGAAGGAGAGTCTTTCCAAGAGAACTAGAGCTTGTGGACAAGGTGAAGGCTAGATTGTCACTACCACTAATGGTACAGTCATTCCCAAGAGCTCTTTTCCCACTATGGAGGGACTGTAATAGAACTGAGCTGTGTTTGGAAAATTCAGGTGATCAAATGGAAAAAGAAACATTGGCTTGCTGTGGTGGACAGAATCATGGAGCCCCAAAGAGACATCCAAGTGTCCAGAACCTGTGAAATATGTGACATTATAGGGCAAAGGGAAATGAAGGTTTCAAGTGGAATTAAAGTTACTGATCAGCCAAACTATGAAATAGGGAAATTATTCTGGAATATCTATTTGGGCTCAGTATATTCATGAAGGTCCTTAAATGTGGAATGGGCGAAAGAGAAGCATCAGTTGGAGGAGGACGTGACTGTGGAAGAAAAGCAGAGGAAGGTGCAACATGACTGGTTTTGAAGACGGAAGAGGAGGGCCCCTGAGCCAAGGAAGCATCTAGGAGCAAGGACAAGGAAGTGGATTTTTTCCTAGGATTTCCACATGGAACACGGCCCTGGTGATACCTGGATTTTACTCCAATGACTTCTTATCTCCAGAGTTGTAAAATAATAAACTCGTGTTGCCCAAGCCACTAAATGTATCATAACTTATTGCCACAGCAACAGGAAGCAAATACAGTTGGTTTTAAAACCTCTGACCTAGAAAAAGCCTTAACTGTTTTTGAATTTATTGGGAATATAGGACTCAACTTGTCCTTTATGTATGTTGGCTAATTTTAGCTTTAATCAAAATAGATTTTCTTACCTTCATTCATGGAGCTACGCCGAGGCGACACACATACATATAATATGGACAGTAAGACAAGTTTTGAAGACTGAACAATGTTGGAAATACTAGGCCTTTTCATTACCATGAACTATTTCACAAACTATTGTTATGTAACATTCCTGACCAGAAAATGGAATACTCTTTACTGGAAATGAACTAGAAAAAAAAATTAAATTAAAATATTTCCTTAGCCTACCATGAATTTCTTCAAGTAATGCAGGTTTATTCCTTTATTTACTATCTTCTCCAAGTTGTGTAGTTGACCTAAAAGATAATAATAAAAAGCATAATGTAAAACTAGCATAAATAAGTAAAACAAGGCAACTGTGTTTTGAGGCCCCAAAGTAGTACTTGGAGTATAACAGATGCTTAGTCTTTGGGAAAAAAAATGGGAACTTTCTCTTTCCAAATTTTTAAGGAGTATACTTTCCCTTGTCTCCTCCCCAAACTTTCAAAAGCAAAAACAAAAACAAAAGCAAATTTAGGACTGGTCAAATGTTTGATAGACTCTACTTCTTTGAAAACCATGAACTGGGTATTTGTTATTAAAAATGGAACTAATAATGACATTGGATTTGAGACTTTTCAGTTTTGAAAAATTGAAATAGCAATCTGGGTCTCTCCTTTGCTCTGGTTTGCGGTACTTAGTGTTTTGAGCGCTGTCACTTTGGGCTGTACTCTGCTTATTTCTGCCCCTGCCCTGACTGTTCACGTATGCGTTGGCAGAATATTGCTGTTGAGACTCCGCTTTGCCAAGTGTGGGCTGAGACCAAGAGGATCAACTTTCTTTGGGAGCCAGCTCCACCTCACACTTCTCCCTCAGAATTTGCATCTTAATGAGCTCCTCAGATGATTCCTATGCACTTTCTAGTTTGATGGATGCTGAAATGCACTCTTTTTGCTTTGTAGTTTAATGTGGAATAGCTGGAAGCCCCAGCTTTCATATATCAGTTGTGTCTACTTGCAAAATATATTTAAGGTAATGTTCACTGTGACGTAGAGATATATTAAAAAATTACAAGTCATAAATAAAAAGAAAAATAGGTTTTAGGCTCCAGGAATGGATTAGTTATTGCATTTGAGAAGAAATTTAGATTAAAAATTTAGATAATCTCCAGGACAGCTAAAGCAAAAAGCAATACATTGTTTGATTATAAAGGAAATGTTGCAATTTATGAGGAAAAATAGTTTCTTTTCAAGTACTGACTTTTCAAGGTTACTTATCACTGGACTCTTCACATAAAGGATGTCAGGCACCATAAATAAATAATACTTTTAACCATTTTTTAGCAGAAATATTCTTAGGGTTGATGTTTGTTATATTGTAATTTTATGAAAGCCAAAGGCAGAGTCTTATATTATGGCTAGGAGAAAGAATTTTTGTAGAAATTTAAAGTGATAGATTCTAGGTACCTTTGTTGTTATCTAAATCCTTTTGCAAGAGAATTTAAGAAAAGTACAAAAGAAGCAGGGTAAATAAAAGCTCTGACGTGGAAAACATAGGATGTTCAAAGAGCAGGAAATGGTCAACTATACCTAAAGGGCACGTTTTTGCTTTGAGACATGTGAAAACTTTGGACATTTAGAAAAATGTTACAGAGTCAGAAAAAGCTGTGTAAGTGTCCTAAATTTTGCATTTGAGTTAGTCTTATATTTCCATGTGAACTTACCATAAAATACATTCTGGACTGTAGCTCATGGCTCAATTTAAATAGGAAATAAAATATCTTGAGAAGAAATTTTGTCTGTCATTATGTAACTGTGGTATTTAGTTTTGCCAGTCAAAACCTCAGGATGCCACATGAAGGCCACTGGTTCACTGCTCAGTGAAGAAAATTAGGTGGGCCTTTGTTGTCGCTGTTGTTGTTTATTTGTATCTTTTGGATCTTAGAGAGGAAGAAGCTACAATATTTTTTTTTCCAGAAGACCCAGACTTGACCCTAAAATGAGTACAAAAACTTGAAGGATCAAATAATATTTTTTCCTAGCCTGGAGGAAGAATTGTGAGAAAAATCCTTTGCATAGAATCTTCTTTACCTTCTTTGCAAGTGTTTCTTTTGGATTATACATAAAACAGTGCCCGGATTTGTCAGAGTGAGGGAAATTGTTGTTGATAGAGTCACCTATTCCCTTTCTTAGTTGTGCATGTTATTGAAATTACAGAAAGTCATCTGACCACGGGTGAGGTCACTCACTTCTTCCCCCATTTCCACCAATTCCCTAGATCTGCTATAATATTTAACAAAATTGGTAACTGCTCTTGAGGGTTTCGTGTGTGTCTCTGTTTTGCTGCAGTGTCACATGTTTCTGTGGAAGCGTGAACAATAGTACAATTTTCCACAATGAATCAGATGTTCCTGTGATCCAGGCATGTTTGGAAAAATCACACTGCTTAGGATTCCATAATAACATGGCTTTTTCTTTTTTGCAGGCTGTGGTCCTGCAGTTAAAGGGCTCATTTCTTACTTGCAAGGTGGCCAGGTCCCAGGGCATTGAGAACTAAAGGGACAACTCTTTTGGTCAGCTCCATTGCAGAGGGGAATGAGGGATAGGATGGGAGCACTGAATTCTGAGAAACCCGTCGGACAGTGTTCCAACGCTTCATAGTAGCTTTGATTTTGACCTCCAAGGTGAGTTGGAATTGCCAGTTTAATTCCAAAAGCAAAATATAATCATTAGAGAAAAACTGTACATTTGGGCTCCCACTTTGGGCATCAAAAATTTTTTTGAATACTAATTTTAGGGAAGAAAATATATTCATTTTAATCCTCCTTAATTTCCTTGCATATTAGCATTTTAGTACTTCTAAATAATATCTGTTTTGAAATTTTGTGCAGAGAAGAAAACACAAACTACAGATATATATGCATACTGGTATAGATTTCAGAAAAAACTCACACATTTTGTGAAAGTTACTTGTAAGTTACTGAGTAATTTAAATTACAGCATCATACATGTATCAGTGTTTACATATATATATATATATGTATTTTTTTTTTTGTCTTTTTCTTTTTTTTTCGGTACCGGGGATCGAACTCATGACTGCCTGCTTGCAAGGCAGGCGCTTATGCCACTGAGCTAAATCCCCAGCCCCTCATGTATCAGTGTTACAGTAGCACTGTATTTTATGTTTGCCTTTCAGCCACGTCTATACTTAAACCCCGAAGTGCAGTGGATACTCATGGTTTTTATGAATTCTCAAATTCACAAATATCAAAATTAGTCTCTGTTAAGACCTGTAAGTTTCAACATACAACACAATTGTGTAAAAGTACTCTTTTCTGTTGTTGCCTCTTCATGGTGAAACTTCCCCTTGAGTTTTCTCTCTTTTTAAAAATTTTGTGGTGCTGAGCAGGACTGAGTGCTGTGTGCTCGTATGTTGTGCCATGGAACCCTTCTCCCTTGAATTTATCAGCCACAGATTTGTTCTGTGTCCCAATAGTTTTGTTTCTCTATAAAAAAATATATATAAGGCATTCAGTATGCTTTAGTTTTTTTCAGTACTGGGAATCAAATGCAGAGCCTTTGCATGAAATTATAACCCTAGGCCTCTTTTAGTTTTTATTTTGATACAAAGTCTCACTAAGTAACTTCAAGGCTACAACTTGGGATCCTTCTGCCTCGGCTTCCCAGAGTATAGACACTTG